AAAACTAAAAAAAAAACAAACAAAAGAAAAACAAAAAAAAGACGCGACGATGCACGAGTTGTGCAGATGCGGCTGCAGCCACGTCCATCACTAGGCTGATTTCATAGCCACGCCCATCACCAGGGCTGATTTCATAGCACCGCCTATCACTAGGGCTGATTTTTCATAGCCACGCATCACTGGGCTGATTTTCATAGCCACCGCCCATCACCAGGGCTGATTTTCATAGCCACGCCTATCACTAGGGCTGATTTTTCAATAGCCACGCCCACCACCAGGCTGATTTTCAAGCCACGCCTATCAACTTAGGGCTGATTTTCAATCCACGCCCATCACCAGGCTGATTTTCATAGCCACGCCCCACCAGGGCTGATTTCATAGCCACGCCATCACTCAGGGCTGATTTTCATAGCCACGCCCATACCACGGGCTGATTTTCATAGACGCCCCCCCCCCCCCCCCCTCACTAGGGCTGTTTTTTTCATAGCCCACGCCCTCTCACTAGGCTGATTTTCATAGCCACGCCACCCCACTAGGCTGGATTTTTGGATGGGGCTTCTATTTGTGCACCTGCTCAGACATTCTCCCAGGGCTTGTTTTGTGGGTGGTCTTATTTTCGGGGAAACAGAGTAGTGAAGTCTGGTAGTGTATTGATAGATTCCTCATGGCACCTGTCTGGCTGTTGGTGCCTGTGAGTTGGTGATTTTTTTTGTTTGTTTTTTTGAGACAAGTCTCACTCTGCTGCCCAGGCTAGAGTGAGTGCCGTGGCGTCAGCCTCGCTCACAGCAACCTGCAGACTCCTGGGCCAAGCAACCCTCCTGCCTCAGCCTCCCGAGTAGCCGCGGACTACAGGCATGTGCTACCACGCCTGCGATTTTTTCTCTATATATTTTTAGCTGTCAATTAATTCTTCTATTTTATAGTAGAGACGCGGGGTCTCGCTCTCGCTCAGGCTGGCTTCGAACTCCTGACCTGGAGCGATCCTCCCGCGTCGGCCTCCCAGAGTGCTGGGATTTGGAGTTGGAGGCTGAACGTCACGCGGGCCCTTGCTGGGTGCGAGGGCGGGCAGGAGAGACGCGCAGACGCAGGGAAAGGCGCGCGCGCTGCGTTTACACCGAGGACCGGGCTCAGAGGCGCGCGGAGGTTGGAATCGGGGAGGAGAGCGGCCCGCAGTACAGGTGAGCCGCACCCCTGCCTCCCGCCCCGTCTTCCGCAGGTGGGCGGGGACCGCGCTACTTCTGCGCCTTCCCCAACGCGGTGCTGCGCAGAGGGGCCACGCTGAGGGTGCAGGCCACGCCGCGGGGCCGCGTTCCAGGAAGTCCTGGCCTTCAGGAACCCAGGTGAGGCCGGGCGTCTTACCTGGTGCAGCCCGTCCTGGGTGGTGGGGCCGCCGGTTCCCGGGGTGACGGCGTCTGGCGGGCCTGCGTCCCCCATGAGCAGCCCTTCTCATCCGCCCCGTGAGAGCTCTAGTGCTCCACAGGAGAGATCGGGGCCGGTGGCTCTAAAGGAAACAGAGTCGCGAGACATTCAGGATGGGATTCGGGGTCTGGAGAGTGAGGATGATGTTCCAGAAGAAGACGACTTCACTCTATTTGAATAAATGAGTGAATAAATGTAGAGGGTTATACCGTACTTAAAAAAAAACAACACATCCCCTGAAAAATGAACCCTAGGGTGTCTTCTTGAGGAAAAATAAATATAAGACTCTATCTTATTTTTGAGGAAACACGGTAAATCACTGCTTGTCTTCTATTAGTTTCTTCCATATAGTCCCACAGTTTGCCACCCTGAAAAGCCTAACCTCCTTTTCCTTCGTCCTGATACATCTTTACAAAGGTATCATTTTGTCCTTGTTCTTTAAAACGGCATGCAAGCCCACACACAATGTCATACAGGATCCCAAATCCAGTCTAGCTGCTTCTTGGGGTCTCCAGGATTTTTCCGGGAAGCTGTCCATGTACACATTTTAAAAGTTACCACCAAATGAAATGTTGTATCCCCTTTTTCTCCTGGGAGTCTGTCTTCTGTCGGTTTAATTTGCAGGGCCCCGGCACGGAGCGTGAAAGTGCAGAGAACAAAAAGTTTTCTCCCGTCCTCTGCAATACCTGACTGAGTTCCTTTCGGTAATTTTTCCACCCACCGACTCCTTTCGCTGTGGCTGTCGGGGCTACACATCCTGAGCGTTTCCCATTGCTTTTGGACTCGGGTTCAGTCTCTCTCCCGGCTGGAACAGTCTTTGCCGACAGTTGCGGGAGTCTTGAATAAAGAGGCTTTCTCGCTCCAGGTTTGAGTGACCCGGTGTTGCTTTTCTTCGAGACTGCACCCAGCCCCACGGGACGGGCATCTGCCCTCAGCCAGAGACGCCGGGGATGCGTTTGCACATTAAGCATCGGGGAAGTAGCTCTAAGCTCTAACCGTGCACGGCCGGTTCCGTCTCTTCCGACAGACCACAGTGGAGAGTGCGAGAAAGCACCAGGCAAAAGCCAGGCTGGGAGAGCTGCCTCCCTCCCTGCACCCGGAGGGGAGGGGCGTCCTCGTCCCTGGGGACCCGGGACTCGGAGAATCTGCGCACGCAGGGCAGGCCGGGTGCCCCCGGGTCATTCCCGTGAGCTCACACAACCCGGGTGTCCAAGTGCAGTTGTGCACGCCTGTCCTCGCTCCGTCCCTCGCGCCGGGGAAAACTCCTGTTACAGACTCCCACACGTTCTCCTCTTGTTGGCCTCTCTTTGGTCCCGGGGGCCTCAGACGGGTGAGGAAAGATTGTTTTCTCAGCAAACTTGCTCTTCCCGCCTCCGCAGCCCGGGATGTTTCCCCCTCCGAGATCCGGGAGGAAATGGCTCCTGGAAATGGGACCGTTTTAAGGAAGAGAACGCCTGCTTCCCATCCGTGTGGGTGGAGACAGGTCTGGCGGCACCTGTCACCTGACTGCAGGCTGCGCCGTCTACCTGCGGTCAGAAACAGACGGGAGACTTAACTATTTTAGCTCGACTGCCCTGAACGGGGCCGGTTGGGTACACTTTGCTGCATTCAGGGGTGGTAAAGTTTCTTTCTCTGTCTTTGCAGTTGCTCAGGTAATTGGTTCTTGGTTGGTTGTTTCCTTGTGTTGCATTCTTTTGTTTTGTTTTTCTTTTTTTTTTTTTTTTGAGACAGAGTCTTCCTATCACCTGGGCTACAGTGCAGTGATGTCATCGTAGCTCACAGCAGCCTCAAACTTCTGGGCTCCAGCGATCCTCCTGCCTCAGCCTCCTCCCAAGTAGCTGGGACTACAGGCATGCGCCATCACACCCGGCTAATTTATCTATTTTTAGCAGAGACGGAGTCTCGCTCTTGCTTAGGCTGGTCTCGAAACCCTGACCTCAAGTGATCCTCCCGCCTCGGCGTCCCAGAGTGCTGGGATTATAGGCGTGAGCCACCGTGCCCGGCCGATTCTTAGTGTGAGAGGCTGAATGTACAAACATGCATTGCCGAGACCGAGTATAAATAGCATTCTGACCTCTGACCTGCACCAGCCAGCCAGGAAGCAGGAAGTCAGATGGCAATCTCTCCTGGCTCTGCCGAAAGCCATCCAAGACCTCCCGAGACAACCGGCCCCAAGTGGCAGGCACTTTGATGAACGACTGGCAGCTTCCGTAACTGTTGCTGCTGCTTTCAAATTCCAACACAAGACAGGGTCATCTATTCAATTTTCCTCAAGAAGACACCCCAGGGCTTATTTTCAGGGGATGTGTTATTTTCCCCTCAAAGCCTCAGCTTGCAGCACCCACAGGATGGCCAGGAACCTACAGGGGGAGCCGACCTTGTTGGTGGGGCTGCCCGCACCTTTCCTGTCACCTCTGGGATAGTCCCTGTCACCATGGGGCAGACGAGAAGGGCTGCGCATCTTCTTTCCCACTCATAGACAAAATGCATGGGTTGTGCAGATGCCCTGCATAGGCACCCCCATCACAAAGGATTATTTTCAGGAAGGGCTTGTATTGTACGCGAGCTTAGACATCCTGCTAGGGCTTATTTTGTGGTTGGGTCTTATTTTCACGCAAATAGGATAGTGGAAGCCAAGCACACCCAATAACCCTAACTCCTAAACCTAACCCATAACCCTAACTCATAACACCTAATCCTAACCCCTGACCCCTAACTCTAACCCTAAACTCTAACCTTAACCACAGACTCCTAACCCTAACCCCTAACCCTAACCATAGCCAATAACCCCTAATGCCTAACCCTAAGCGTAACCCATAACCCCTAACCATAACCATAACCCCTAACTCTAACGCCTAACCCTAACCTTAACAGATAACCCCTAATGCCTAACCCTAACCGTAACCCCTAACCATAACCATAACCCCTAACCCTAAACCCTAACCCCTAAACGTAACCCCTAATCCTAACCCCTGACCCCTAACCCTAACGCTAACCCCTAACTCCTAACCCTAACCTCTGACCCCTAACCCTAACCCCTAACCCTAACGCTAACCCCTAACCCCTACCCCTAACACTAACCCCTAACCCTAACCCCTGACCCTTAACCCTAACGCTAACCAGTCTCCTAGGGCACGGGTTCCACTGAGCCGTCTGCAGCTTCCCTGACGCCAGCACCCCCAACTTAGGGCTGACCCGGCCTTCCCTCTTCGCACTTCAGACCCTTCCCCTGCTCCGCCCGCCTTTGAGTCCCTGCCAAGTCCAGGGCCGTGGGCGGCCGAGCCCCCTTCTAGAACAAGCTCTGGGTAAAGACAGTGCCTGCTTCTTCTCCTGTGGGCGGGTGGCCCCCCTGTGTGTCCGCAGGCTTCACTGGGTGGTAAGACGCCCGCTCTCTCCTTTCCCCGCTGTGGAGGGACTTTCTGGGTTGGCAGGAAGCTCCGTGTCGAATCCCATTTTCCCGGCAGGCAGCGCTGGGCCGGGGTGGGGACCGTGACTGGGATTAGGGGATCCACGGAGTCCCGAGAAAGAGCAGCCGGGCCTGGGGTTAGGGCCCTGCCCCCCTCCCGACTCACTTCTGCAAGAAGATTCTGGAAGTGCCCAGGTGACCAAGGGGAGGTTACAGATTTGGAGACTCAGGTGACCAAGGGGAAGTTGGGGATTGTAGACTCTCAGGGAATGCCAGGCGCGGGGGGACGCTTCCGACCTAAACATAAGATCCGGCCCCAGGAAAACACGGGATTGTTTCCCCAAAGCGAGGAAGAAACAGGCATGCATCCTGTCTCTCTCTCTCTGCAGCAACACAGTCTCGTGACAATCACGGGGTCTAGGAGAGATGAGAACGAACACAGAATTGCTTTCAGATCCTAAAGGCAAAGGAAAGATGGGTTTGGAAAGAAGGGGTCAGAGATGGGACACAAACCAAAACAAAACAGAACAGGCTGGAATGTGACTAAGTCTGAAAAGGAGTAGTTCTTTGAAACAAAGAATTTCTTAAAACTCCCAGAAGGGAAACGCAGTCACTGACATAAAAAATCAGGCCTGTTTCTTGTCTTTTCGCGCCAGACCGTGAGCTGCATGTGGTACATGCAGCAGCAAACAGTGGGAAAAAATTCAAGCCAAGGAAATGATCAATCCGGGTAGCAGGAGACAAAAAGAAACTGAAAAAAAAAAAGAAAAGAAAAAACGTGAGAATGCACACCACGGTGGCCTGGAACGAAGATCAAATGGACCGGTTTTGCCAATCAAATGAATGTGTTCAATTAATAAAGACCCTGACAAGTTGTTAGAAATGAAAGCCCGCAGGAGAGATGGTTTAGAAAAAGCTGGAGCCTCGGGGCTCGGTGGCTCACGCCTGTGATCCCGGCACTCTGGGAGGCCAAGGTGGGAGGACCACTTGAGGTTAGGAGTTTGAGACCAGCCTGGCCAATATAAGTGAGACCCCATCTCTACAAAAAAATTTGAAAAATTAGCCGGGCGTGGTGAAGTGCACGTGCCTGTAGTCCCAGCTACTCGGGAGGCTGAGGCAGGAGGATCGCTTGAGCCCAGGAGCTGGAGGCTGCAGTGAGTTATAATGGCACCACGGCACTCTAGCCCGGGTGACAGAGCAAGAAGACTCTGTCTCAAAATAAAATAAAATACCGTGTTTCCCCGAAAATAAGCCCTACCCATAAAGCAAGCCCCAGCAGAACGTCTAAGCATGTGCGCAATAGAAGCCCCACCCCGAAAAATCAGCCCTAGTGATGGGCGTGGCTATGAAAATCAGCCCTAGTGATGGGTGTGGCTATGAAAATCAACTCTAGTGATGGGCGTGGCTATGAAAATTAGTCCTAGTGGTGGGCGTGGCTATGAAAATCAGCCCTAGTGATGGGCGTGGCTATGAAAACCAGCCCTAATGATGGGCGTGGCTATGAAAATAAGTCCTAGTGGTGGGCGTGGTTATGAAAATCAGCCCTAGTGATGGGTGTGGCTATGAAAATCAGCCCTAGTGGTGGGCGTGGCTATGAAAATCAGTCCTA